GAAGGAGGGGGGGGGGGGGTCACCTCTGTGCCTGCCCGCTTCTGCGGGTTCCCCAAGCTGAGCAAAGGGGCTGCCTCCTGCGCAGAATGGAGAGAAGGAATTGCAGTGATCCCAGGGCGGCCTTGGCCGGCTTGGTGGCCCCCAGATGAGTTGGGGCCCCTCCCATCCGTCCTGGGGCAGGAGGTGAGTTGTGCCCTGGCTCATTGAGGGCTCGCTCTTCCTAGCCCTGCCTGGGGTTTCTGAAAGCTTTCTGTCCTGCTGAGAAGGAAGGTTGGCGACCCAGGGTTGGCAGAGGAGATGGGGCCCCCACTGGGGCCCCAGCAGGGCAGTTTTTCAAGAGTCTCAGCAAGTTCAGAGCATCACTGCAGATCCACCATTTGCCTCCCTCACCTGTCACCATTCCCTCTTCTGAAACCAGTGGCGTTTGGTGGGCCCTTAAACTGGGCCAGGTGCCCCCAAACAACCTACCTATGTTTTCAATTTCCAGGGCTCTTTTTTGGCAGCACCAGATCTGTCTGTCTCCTGAGCAGCACCAGAGGCAACGCCACTTCATATTCCTGGGGTTTCCCCCCAGTCCAGACGACGGGTCGCCGACAAACAGGGCCCATTGCTGCTGCGTCTTTGCCCTCCGCTGGCTTAAACCAGGCTTTCTAGGTCCCTATTCTGCTGGAGGCTGTCAAGGGGTGGCCCCTCCATTGCCCTCCCACCCTTTCCCGTCCTTTCGAGAAGCGGCAGAGTTTTGCACTCCGTTGTGCAAGTTGGATGATCTCCCATGCACTTTGACGGAAGCCCTCCGGGACACGCCTTGTCCCGCCACGTCGTCTTTTCCCTGGGCTCTTCCGCAGCCAGGCGCACAGCAGGTTTGTGGTTCTCGCCTCCCTGTTAAGAACAGTCTGCTCCCATGGTGGAAAACCAGAGGCATCTCAAGGCTCTCCGGCTCTGGTTCATAGTAGCATCCTGTTTTGTCACTACAACACAGGGTATCGGGCTGACTTACATGTGACTTTTAAAAAATTCTCTAAAAGGAAAGTTCTGAATTGCTTGTCTGAATCATTTGTCCTTTGGTGACTTAGCAGCAGCAGCAGCATTCGAAGCCTGGCTTAGATTTTATTCTATTTTCATAGAAAGAGACTACATCTGGCTTTGGTTCCTTCTCCATTTGTCCTCTAGCCAGCTGGAGGCCCACTGGAGACTTCCCCTAACTCAGAAGGTCAGTTTGCCTAAACATCATCTATCTGGTCAGTATTCTTTAGAGGTCCCATTGTGGGGGTGCTGCCCCTGTTGATAGGTCCTAGTTTAACTGTTAGGTTAAATCCCCCTTCCCCCCTTTTGGTAAAATGGAAATACAATAGAAATATTGTATTCTAAATGTAGTTTAAGGCAGGGCATAAGTTATTGTTTAAAATAATCTTAATTTTTTTCCTGTGTATATTAAAAAAAAAAAAAGGCACCTCTGTTTCTCAAATTGTACGGGAATAAAACTTATCCCGAAAAGTTGGATTTAGTTCTGCACTCAGCTTTTTTGTTTTTTCCTGGTACTTGTATTTTCACATGTAAAATTATCTCTATATATGTTGAATTAACATTTTTAATTGAAGACAATTATTAATGGTCATAAAATGTGTTAGTAGTTCCAGCTAAACATGTGCCCAAACACTGTTCAGAAAAACAAGCAAAAATTACCGAGAGTCCTGTATGTAAAAAAAAAAAAAAAAAAAAAAAAGAAAAATGGTTATTTCTCTGTATTTTTAGGAGCCTAACGACATCCTTTAGTTATTGGTGATAGAATATATTTCCTTTTTATGCTTCTATTAAGGACATTTTTAACTCTTCGTGGTTCTTTCTCCTCCCCTCCCTCCCGGCCCATCCAATTAGTGCATGAAATTGTTGAAATCTCTGGGCAAACAAAGAAAAGCCCCTTTTTGCTGAATTTAAAAAGGAAAAAAAATCATGTTATTTGCTACAGAGTATTGTATGTGTCTCAATGGGAATGGTGTAAAAACTTAAAGGCCTTATGTGATATGTATCATAGTTAATAAATCAATCTTGTAAAAAAAGAAATGTGGTTTTCTGCGTGTCCTGCATGCTTTTGTGTGCTGCTTTGTCTTCTCTAGAGAACACGACCTTCTCCAACGTGGTGCCCCAGAAGGGTGGAATTGCAACCGTCCAGCATCCCCAGCGGGCAGGGCCAGCGTTGTGAGACAAGGCTTGGCATGCAACACCTCTGGATGGCTGCTGGGGGTTGCTGGAGCTCCAGGAGAGGAAACGGGTAGAAGCAGGGGAGGAGGAGCTGATCCGCGGAGACGGATTTGAGATGTTCCCGTCGTTTGATGGCGCAAGCGCGGCCTGGCCTGCGTGGCTCTTCGTATGGGCGTCCGCACACAACGACAGCTTTCAAGCTGGGTCGATGAAAGGCATCGAACAAGAAACTGCAGACCGCAGGCAAGTTTAGAATGTGTCCCCCGTGATCTGCTTGTCAGGAGGGACCGACTGGCGACGGTGCTTTGGATGCAGGCAAAAGGGGCAGCTGGCAGAAGAGAAAAGGCCCCTCTCCTACCCTGAACCCCGAAGTTCGGAGTCAGGCAGGCGACTTGCCCACTCAGGCTTCGATGCAGACATTTGCGGCAGCCTGAATCTCGTGGTCCTAAGATTGGGAGAAGCCCGTGAGAGCCTCGACTCCAACTCTGCCTTGGTGCAGGAATTCTGCTTGGAGGGCCCACCCCCGCCCACCACTTAAACCCTATTTGCATTATCGAGGCTGAGCGATCATGGATTTAAAAAACAAAACTGGTGAGCGTCTGCAATGCCACTGCTGCCCTCTAGCGCTGAGCTGATACGTTTTTAGTTTAAAGCCACCTCCGCACCACCTTTTGCTCTCCAGGTGGGACTTTAATTTTATTCAAGAGTGCATATGGCTGCCCAGCTTGGACACTGCAGCTCTGGTCGGTGCACAGCACATTAAAACAACAACCAAGCCCCGAAATCGTTCAAGTCCAAAACATTGCAACCCTATCCCTCTCCAGCTGGGCAAGTCCAATCCAGTTCAAAGCCCAAGCAAAAAGCCGTGTTTTTGTTGCCTTTCCGTGAAGGCCGACAGGGTTGGGGCCAGACCTATTGCAGGGGCGGGGGGTGAACTTAATTTTAAAGGAGTTAAAGCCCCAGCCAGCAGCAGTTTTAAACTTAGGTGCTGCACTTGGTTCCAGACGTTAGAACTAACCAGGGTTGGTATTGCTTACGTGGATTTCTGCATTTCTCAGAAGTCTCCAGCTTTGTGGATGCCCTAAGTTCTTGGCTGTTCCAGACAAGGATGTAGGTTTCCATGTGAACCTGAATGTAAACAAACTGAGTTATGAAGCTGCAGTTTGAAGGAGATGAGAGAAAATAAGTGGGAGTAATATTTTGTCAAGCAGGAACACTGGAAATGGGCTCTGTTTGCACCGGGTCCCTTCCCTGCCTCAGGCTCCCTGCCAGTGCGCTGCATTAATTAGGAGGAAGCAGGAGCACCTGCAGGGAGGGATCACGCTTCAACTGCACAGGTGCAGCCACCATCTTGACTTTTTTGACACCCCCCCCGGAAAGGAAGCCGAGGTCACATCTCAAATCATTGCTGCCATCAAAACTCGACATGGCCTGGAAGCTGAGCGAACTACAGATTCAATACAATATCTTAAAAGTAGCAGCCGACTTTCTGCTGCTGCAAAAATCCAGTTTCACTGCAAGAATCCATCCTGGCTGCTGATGCTGCTGATCACTTTAATCTTTAACTTGCCAAGCCTGGTCCTTTGCTGGCGGACCCTCCCCTCATCCCACTCTCCTGTCGCAACAACCCCTTCCCTGTTGATTAATCTCAGCCTGAATTTGTCCCGCCTCATTTGATTGAGTGGCTTTTTTAGGTAATTAAATCTTTTGCTTTGTAGGATTCCACCAAGCAATTAGGAAGCCTATACCCATCTCTCCTCCCCCCCCCACCCCTAGTAAATGGAGCTGGCCATGATACCTCTGCTTGAATGCACTGGAAAAGAATGTGGTTACGCATTAAGCAGCTGCAACCCTATTATTAATATAGTGCTCTGCCGACAAAATAATTGTGAGCTAAGTGGTTTGTTTAAGGGCAGGTACCTAATTGCTTAATTGATTACACATTATGCACATTTATCTAACTCAGCGGAGGTGCTCCTTCACAATATTGAAGGGAAGGGCAAGGTAAAACTTTCCGTTTAATAAATAGACAAGCCCACCCCTTCTGTTGGTAGCCAGCCCTTTGACTATGCTGGTTAAGAATTGGGGGTACTGGGGTGTCTCCATGCCCTGAAGCCATCCGTAGGTCGAAGGCTGATAGCTGAGTTTGGGGCTTCTCCTTTCAGGATGGCCATCTTTGCTTTTAAATGCACGTTCACAGTTAACACGCTGGAATCAAAATAGTCTCGGAACTGAGTTCCGTGTGCTATTAATTTGGGGATTCACGCAGGGGTGTCTTTGGGGCAAGATAAAAAAGTCAAGAAGGTGCCTGCGATGGTGCACATAAAAACCAGGTGGGCTTCAATGGCACCATCGCAGCTGCCACCTTGAATTTATGGGCCATGCCCTGCGGACACCCCAGGATTCACAATTAGTCAATTACACATTTCTAAATAAAAAATGGGCTGTCACAATGAAATCATGTGTGTCTTGGGGGGCAAATCCAA